TTTTTCTTGGACCATTTCTCGATTTATGCGTGCCATCCTTGCGCAGGGCCCATGCTAATCTTCTCCGTATCGTTCCAATTTTAACGGATGTCCCGAAGGACTTCCGGGTAGAATTATGATGGGATCCTCCTACTCGTGTAAAGTCTGTGTGAAGCGCAGGGGAAAAAAAATAAAAAAATGAAGCTTTCAATGTTTTTTGTCTTCTTTCTTTCTTTCCCGTAAAAAACACGAACCTCCCATGAGTCCCATCTATATGTGGGGACCAACACATGGTGCGGAACAGGTTTCCCGTCTATTCTTTCCCCTGCTCTTTCACGGAACAGGTTTTCTCCCTTTTTCCCCTGCTCTTTCACGGATGGTGGCTGATGTCACAAACAATTCTCATCAATCGTTGAATGCGAAAAAAGAAAGAAGTCAACGTTAAACACGTCAAGCGTACACAGGAATCAAAAAAAGATGAATGAAACAGCCTTTGTAAATACGCTAATCTTTTTTTTTATTATTATAAATAGGACGCTTATCAAATACCTTTTGTTAGAAAAAAGGGTTGCCACTAGAAAAGAAAAGGAAAAAAAGGATAATAATAATAATAAGGGGTAACTAGGGGGGAGTCACGAAAACGAGTTAGAATTGCACTATGGGGCAAGATACAGTTTGCAATTGCAGTTTGCGCACCCTACCTGGCCAGAAAGATCGTTTGTATACATTGCCCGAACTGCAATTGCAAACTGTATCTTTGGCCCATACTGCAATTATAACTCATTTTTGTGTACCCGCGTTGTTTCCCCTAATAATAATTAATAATAGGAAAAGCATAATAGTAATAATCGGGGTAACCCGCGTTCGGACGGGCCGAACGCCCGAACGTATGGGACCCCTTGGGGATGCGTTCGGCCGTTCGGGCCGACCGCGGACCCAAAAAAAAAACATCTGAAAAAAAGGTATGTTAGGGAGAAAAATAAATGAGACAAGGTTTGCCTGAGCATTACATCCGAATTCCTTACCAAATTTGAAATAAAAATAAAATATGGAAAACAAATACTAATAATAAAAATAAATAAAAATAAAAAGAGAATTAAATTTAGTGAGTGCGCGAGCATGTTTTCGACACTGCCATCTTTGGCGATTTTGCATTTTTTTTTGGCATAGTTAAATGCCCTGAAAATTTACAGATGTGTACTTCACATAACACAAAACCAACTAAAAAAGTTTCAAAAAATAATAAAATTGTTTAGACCCCGAACTAAAGTGAAAACAAAACGTAAAAAGTGAAAAAATACGTGGGCGAGCACATTTTGACACCGCCATCTTTGGCGATTTTTAATTCTTATTTGGCTTAGCCAAATGACTTTAAAATTTACAGGCATGTACCTCACGTCATAGAGAACTCACAAAAACAAATTCAGAAAAAAATAATTATTTTCAGGCCCCGAAATCATTTTTGGCGGGGGCGGAACGCCGTCGGGTTCGGACCCGGTACGGGACCCCGAACTCCCGTACGTACGGAGACCCCGAACTCCCGTACGTACGGAGACCCCGCACTCCCGTACGTATGGAGGTCTGCCCGGGTACAAGGAGGTCGGCCCGGGAACCTCCGTACGTACCGGCTGGTGACCCTGATAATAATATTAATGGTTAATAATTAAATAATCATAATAAAATCACAGCGAATAATAGTAATAATAATCATGTCATAATAATTAGTAAGGAAAATTCGAAACTGCATTTAAAAACAATAATAATAATAAGTACGGAAAGACGGTTCACAGCTGGCCACGTTGTTACTCTTGCAGCAGGATGCTGTGTTGTGTTCCCACTTGCACAGAATAGGAGCTACTAGCCCTAGGTCTTCTTCTTCTTCTTCTTCTTCTTCTTCTTCTTCTTCTTCTTCTTCAGCAGCAGCAGCAGCATTCTAGGAGTAATCATCCTGACGCCAAGGTTGTGTAATCCGTCTAGTGTAACCTCACCCCCGAATCATACCACGGTCACCGATGTTGGTTCACCTGTTCAGATCCCGACACACAAGAATCTTTTGCCAGAGGAACGGCGTAATGAAGTCAAGATCCCAACGGACGTCTTGTCAAGCCAAGATCCCGACATGCGTAGAGAAGTAGGCATCCCCAACAGGTTGCTGCCAGTTGGATTGCGTTTCTCTCTGGTTTTTTGTTTGGGGGGGGGGGGGGGGGGGGGGGCCGAGGGGTTCAATTGGGCTAACATGCTTAGTTATAGGGGAAATCACATCTGTACCCACTGCAAAGGTAGGAATTGCAAGTGTACTCGGAAAACTGCCCAACTTGCATGTGTGCACGGGAAATCCCCTGCAGAGATTGTTTGGGTGCCCTAGTGGTAACAGCAAATTGCAGTAATACCCGACTACAAGTCTGTTCAAATTATGGACATACCCAGACACACACACACACACACACACACAGACACACACACACACACACACAGACACACACACACACACACACA